ATCCATTAGGGAAACATTGATGAGGGGAAGAAGGAGAAGCACTCAGAAGAGGAAAGGAGACTGCCAGCTCAAGATGCAGGTCCATGACCTAAGGAGAAGGAAAGAAAAGGCTGAGTAGGTGAATCTCGGGTTCCAGTACAATTCAACGGACTTTTGGTCGAGTCAGTGGGGTTGCCTGGAGCCACAGGAATGTTCCTGCCATAGTGTCCCTGCTGTACGCAGTCAGTGGCAGGCAGCAACCAGTAAGTGCTGGGCTTTGGCCATGGCAGTTAGGGTACCATCAATTATGCTCCCATAGTAGGAGGTAATAATTAAAATTAGACATTGACAAAAAATCTTTTAAAGAGATAACATAGCCAGGTATGGTAGCACATGTCTGTTATCCCAGTGCTCAGGAGGCTGAGGCAGAAGGATTGCAAGTTGGAGGCTAGCTAGCTTCAGCAACTTAGCAATACCCTAAGCAACTCAGTGAGATCCTGTCTCAAAATAAAAAAATAAAAAGGACTGGGCGTGTGGCTCAGTGGTTAAATGCCCCTGGGTTCAAACCCTGGTTAAAATAAAAGAAAAAGATAAAATATTCATTTTTTTTAAATGAGTGAATCAGGATTCATAATACCACTTTTAGCACACTCAAACCCTCAAGGCTCCACCATTAATAATTATTAATCTACCATTAATATCTTTTTAACACTTTATTTCACAAAATCAGACCATCATTTATTTATTTATTTATTTTGGTACTGGGGATTGAATCCAAGTGTGCTCTACCATCAAGCTACAGCCCAAGGCCTTTTTGTTTTTTGACAGAATCTTGTTAAGTTGCTTAGGGCCTCACTAAGTTGCTGAGATTGGCATTTGTGGGATCCTCCCACCTCAGCCTTTCAAGTTCCTGGGATTATAGGTGTGAGCCACCACACCCAACCCAGTCCATCATTTAAAACACTATTTAACAATGATTTTTAAAAACTGAGCCAGTGTCATTAAAATACCAATCCAAGTCAGGCAGATGCAGTCAGCTCTGACAGGTACAGAGAAGAGACAGGCAGGTGAGCTTGCTGCCTATACAATGCCAATTGGCCAAATACAAAGTGCCTCACTGATGGTTTGTTTTCATTTTTAAAAAAGAAATAGATCATAAATACATGACTACAAATAGCATAATATGTACAGTCTGAACAGCTATGAGTACTCGCGGAGTTTGCCCCTGGCTTGGGAAAGGAACCATTCACAACACCTGGAAGCTCCCATGTGCCTCTCCCTAATGGCAGCCTCCCCAAAGCCCTGCTCCCGAAGGATTGATTGTTCATAAGCTTTTATCCACAGCTTCACCCAACACATGTGCGCCCTTTAACACGGAAGTGAGTGGTCCTGCCTGACACTGTTCACACTTGTGACAGCACACAAAGGGTCTGGTCTCCACTGACCTTACCCAGACACTCTATCGTTTCTGGGTCCTGCACTTTATCAGCCCAGGGAGCTAATCTTATAATGATGCACCAGAGACTCCAGTCTAAGCCAAAATGTCAACAGCCACACAAACCGGAACACTCACAGATATGACTCCTACCTGCTCCCCGCACTGGTCAGTCAGCAGAGGCAGCAAGTTTCAGGCCAAAAGCCACTCGGCAAGCAGGAAGCCATTTCTGGCCAAACAAGTGTCCTGTCAGCAGACCTTGGGAAGGGTCCCACTGCAAAAGTCAAGGCAGCCTAGGCCTCTGCCCAGAGCCAGCCACTCCAGGGGTCACTGTTCCCTGCATCCCCACTAAACGGGTGGCTGGGCCTGAGTTTCCCAAGAGACACAACAGTCTATCCACTCATTCCTTCCATCACATTCTCTTCTCTTCTGTCTTCTGGCCTACATGATGTTCTTCTGTCTCTTCAGATGATCTTGCCTATTTCAGACCTCACCAAGAGTATGTTCATGCTTCTGCCTCCCTCATGTCCAGTTTCCTAGGGGACACATATTATTGCCTTCCTAGTGGCAACATAACTATCTCACACAGAAACCCAGTAAACAGAAAATTTAAGGAAAAGAATCTTGATTTGAAAAGCACCAGGAGTGATGTTCTGGACCACCCTCACCAGTAGGCTGGCATCGGCTAACCTCTCAGGCTCCTTGGCAGGCAGCATCTCCTCTACCCCCAGAAAAACCATGTCAGGACAAAGCGCTCTTGATGAGCAGACTCGTGGGAACTGTAAAGCCCAACAAAGCTTTCTTTTTGAGCTGCTTCTGCTGGATCAAAGTCAACCTTGAGCAGAAATTGCCGCCATAGTAAATAACTAGTAGATCTGGAGTGTTTTTAAATATTTAAGAAAACCAAATAAGATAAAAATTCACAAGATTGTATCAGTATTTTCCTTCTTTACTAACAAAGAACAACTGCTTCAAGTTTGAGTAATAACACAACCTTTAATGACCTGAAAGTTACATACAGTATTTGCTTTTCTGGAATGCCTTTCTTGACTCTACAGTAAACCAGCAGAGAGGATGTTGCCGGAGCTGAAGGAAGGAGCCTGGCTGGGCTGTCACCAGAGAATTTCAAGGAGGATGAGAGACATGTGAAGAGGAAACATGCAGACTGCCTGCTGAAGCCTCAGCACTTGTGAGACAAACTTTCTTTCCAGGTGCTAGAGGTTGAAACTGGGCTGGCACACACTGGGCAAGCTCTACCACTGAGCTACTTCTCCAGCCCTAAGTGCTTTTGAAGTGCTGACAAAATTACCACATCAAGTAAGGCTGGCACTTAGCTTCATTTTCTTCTATATTCATGTCCAGCTGTCCACAGAATTTATTAGGAAAGACTTTATAATTTATTAGGAAAGACTTTATAATACAGATTGAACAGCCCTAATCCCAAAACCCAAAACCCATATACAAAAGCCAATGCAATGCTCAACAAATTTTGGGTTTTGGAGTATCTCGATTTTTGGATTTTCAGATTAGGGATGTTCAACCAGTAAAGTCTACATGACTTTTCCCTCCTCTGACAGTACTTTTGTTTCACCTTCTTTTTTGACACATATTTTCACTGAGTACAGAACGCTGGCCTGGCAATTCTCTTAGCACACCAGAAGGCCACGCTTCTGTCTTCTAGCCGGCTTCCGACGGGAAACCTGCATCATTCACATCCCTGCTTCCCTGCAGGTACACATAGCACGTTGCTCTTCTCCAGACCTTTTTAACATTTTCCCTTAACAGTCTTTAACAGTTTGATCATAGTGTCTCTAAGTATAGATTTCTTTGATTCATCCTATCATTGTCAGTTTCATAAATCTTCTTTGTTAAGTATTTAAAGTATTTGAGAGATTTCAGATACACTAAATTCATAGCTACAAAGATTAGTTGTGTATGGTCCCTGTGTTCGAGGGAATGTGATCAGTCAAATCCATGAGATTTATGCAAAGAAAAGGAGCATTAGGAGTTCTAATTTTGACGCAAACACATTAATGCAAATTCCAGTATGCCCAAATTTGAACAAGGTGCTGCCAGTCAGTAACTTCCCAGTCTCGCGCAGCTTGGCTATACTCTGCCTCGGCTGTCTTCCTAGTAAATGCAAATAATAATAACAGTGACTTCGTGTAATGTTTGTACAGATAATATGAGATAATATATATAAAGGTTTAAAATAATCCCTGGCATACAGTTACGGCTACATGTGTGCTAACCATTTCCGTTATTTTAAAACAAGCACAGAGTTAAAAAAAAACTTTTGCAATCTAAAATTTAATACATTGAATGCTGATTAAAACTGAAGTGTCTGTATTCTCCTAAATACAAAAACCCTTTCTTAGACCATAAAAGCCTCTAACCACAGGCAGAACAGAGTCCCACAAGTTCTTGTGGTAAATATAAAACCTGATCATCTTTGAGCCTCAGAAAAGCTATGTACTCAATACAGATACTGACTAAATGGATGAATCAGACTACAGTCCATCAATACGTGGTGCCAACTGTACCACGGTCAAACAATGTCCCCACCAACATCGATAACACAGAGATGCCTGAGTCAACAACAGTGTAGAACATAGATTCTCAGGATAGGCACAAGGCATGCACAATTGTCATCACAGCTACTCAGGAGGCTGAGGCAGGAGGATCCAATGTTCGCTACCAGCCTCTGCAACTTGGCAAGACTCTATATCAAAATAAAAAATAAAAGGGCTGGAGATGCAGCTCAGTAGTAGAGCACCCTGGGTCCAATCCCCAGTACTGCCAAAAAAAAAAAAAAAAGAATACAGACCACAGATTGGTTTAAGATGTACATAATCTGGCAATTCATTAATATTGACATAAATCCTTTTTCATGATAATATCATAGAATAACTAGAGATCATTCAAGTTAATTAGTGAGGGCACTTTGAAAATAAAACATTTAGGAAACAAATACCTATTTTCGACACTAAAAGTATTAAACACTAAAATGCTCTTTTAAAATGATACAAGAGGGGGGCGTGTTGGCGTACACCTGTAATCCCAGAGGTTCGGGAGGCTGAGGCGGGAGGATCACCAGTTCAAAGCCAGCCTCAGCAACAGTGAGGCAGTAAGTAACTCAATGAGACCCTGTCTCTAAATAAAATAAAAAATAGGGCTGGGGATGTGGCTCCGTGGTCGAGTGCCCCTGAGTTCAACCCCTTGTATCACAAAAAAACAAAAAAGATGCAAGATTATTTTGGAGACAGGAAAAAAGTTAAAAACAATGTTAAAAGTTAAAAACAACTCAATTAGGGCTGGGATTGTAGCTCAGTGATAGAGTGCTCGCCTAGCATGTGTGAGGCACTGGGTTCAATACTCAGCACTACATAAAAATAATAAAATAAAGGTATTGTGTCCACCTATAACTAAAAAAAAACCCAAAAAACTCAAAGATAGTCCTAAAGTATTGTTTGGGCAAAGTATGGAGCCTTATTCTAGCAAATAGAATTACCCCTCCCAGAACATCAGTGTGTTAAACACCAGACACAGCGCAGGCACACTAAGATGCAAGAAAAGCAATTCTCACCTCAAAGTTGTACTTCTTCATCTGGCTGAGGTGCCTGCAGTACAGATAGAGCATGCCAATGCTGCTGCCCACTGCGATGTAGTCCTGGTTGGTATCGAGCGCTGTGAGGTAGACCATGATAGAGCGGAAACCCTTCTGGATCTTTGTGGGGATGGCATTGAGAAGATAGTACAAAGGGCAGAACTCTCTGAATGTAACAGGCTCCGATATCGATGCCATGGCCCAGGTTTCCAGAGACACTCTTCAGGCAGGAAGAGGAATGATGATTTATCATCTAGGGAAACCTAGGGGCTACAGAAGGTTTACAGGTCTTTAATACCCATCCATACTGAAAAGAGGTAATTTCTAAACAGTAGGAACATGAAACTTTCAGGCAGGTAAAAATTATAGCTGGAGCTTAAATGGAGAAAGTAAAGGAGATGTTACTGAGATTATATTTGAGCATTTTAGTTCAAAATGTAATTCAATATGTACTTGCCTCTGTTTTTATGTTGTTCTCAAGTAGCTTAAGATTCAGACAGGAAGGCGATGAAAGAGTGAGACACAGAACCATAAGTAATTAGGTGCTAATCCATGGGTCTCGATGAGATGAAGGAGAGATCAGTGTGGATTAAAGCGAATATAGAGAACATTTCATGGAAAACATCCAGAACTTTGAAGCACAACAGGTTAGACAGTTGCTTTGTACTAGAACAGTGAACCCATCCAGATGCAGAATTGCACTCCCTGTGTTAATGAGCTGGGAAGAACAGGTCCTACAGTGCCTACAGCCACCTTAGTGCCAGAAGCTTAGCACCTCACACCTGGGCCACAAGGAGCCCCAGGCCTCTTTGCATTCTGGATTCCAACCTTCCCTGAATCAAGATACTTCATCTTTATCCAACACAACATGCTTAACAAAGTCACTCCTTAAATCTTTGCCCTGCCTTAGAAAGCGGGTGGCATCATCCAGAACTTGTAGAAAAAGGTGCTGGGGGATGGAGGATCACGAGACTCAGCTGAGACTTGAATCTAGGTCTTTTCCAAGTCCTGGGTCCTTGCCAACTCAGTGCTCTGATGGACAATCAGCAAGTAGAGAGAGATGCCCTGTGTCTGATTAGACCTGCAGGCATATTTCAGTATTTTTAGCTCTTCAAATTCTATAGGGTTTTTTTTTTGTTGTTGTTGTTGTTTGTTCTGTTTTGTCCTGGGATTGAATGCAGGAGTGTTTTACCCCAATCCTTTTATTTTTATTTTCAGATATGGTCTCATTAACTTGCTGAGACTAACCTCCATCTTGTGATCTTCCTGCCTCAACCTCCCAAGTAGCAGGGATTATAGGCATACAACACCCCATCTGGCTATACAATTTATTTTGAAAGTCTGGCTACAACACCAATAATTATTTTAAGTGTTAAATTCTATGGCAGGCTGGTTTTGATGGCGTATGCATGTAAACCCATGACTCAAAAGGCTGAGGCAGGAGGATCACAAGTTCCAGCCCAGCCTCAGCAACTTAGCAAGGCCCTACGCAATTTAGTGAGATGCTATTTCAAATAAAAACTGAGAGACTGAAGTTGTAGCCCAGTGGTAGAGTGATTGTCTAGCACATATGAGGCACTGGGTTTGATCCTCGGCACCACATAAATAAAGAAAGAAAGAAAGGTATTGTGTCCATCTACAACTAAAAAAAACTAATAATAAAGCTGGGCACGGTGGTGCATACCTGTAATCCCAGCAGCTCAGGAGGCTGAGACAGGAGGATCACCAGTTCAAAGCCAGCCTCAGCAATGGTAAGGCACTAAGCAACTCAGTGAGACCCTGTCTCTAAATAAAATACAAAATAGGGCTGGGAATGTGGCTCAGTGGTTGAGTGCCCCTGAGTTCAATCCCTGGTACCCACCCCCCAAAAAATAAATAATAAAACTTGGTGTGGTGGTGCATGCCTGTAATCCCAGAGACTCAGGAGGCTGAGGCAAGAAGACTTTAAGATCAGTCTCAGCAACGTAGTGAGGCCCTAAAAACCTTAGTGAAGAAAGGGCTGGGGATGTGGCTCAGTGTTTAAGTGCCTCTGGGTTCAATCACCAGTAACTCCCCAAAATTTTTAAAATAAAAAATAAATAGGGACTGGGGTTGTGGTTCAATGGTAGAGCACTTGCCTAGCATGCATGAGGCACTGGGTTCGATTCTCAGCACCACATATAAATAAGTAAATAAAACAAAGGTCCATCAAAATCTAATAATTATAAAAAAGAAATGGGGCTGAAAATATGGCTCAGTGGTTAAGTACCCCTGGGTTCAATCCTTAGTACTAAGAAGGAAAATTAACAAGTAAATAAATTCTACGGCAGAACAGAATGGGATTGAGAGAGTAATTTCATCTTCAAGATGAAATTCTGTCACTTCCCTGCTCCCATTCCTGCTAGATAACCAGTGCTCACAGGCTAAAGCCTAACCCAAATATGGACATTTTGACCACTCTTCCATCCCCATTCTTGGTCCCAGCTGCAATGAACTATCCACCACAGACCTCGAACACACAACAATCTGTACATATTTGCAAAGTCCCTTTCCTCCCTTCCCCATTCACCCGTGTACATCCTAGGATATAGTCCTCCTCTATCAGGAAGTCTTCAGAGACACCCTCAGATACTTTGTCCTTCTCTACTTTCCCAGAAATTTATGAGAACAGTTTTCACAAGGCCCCACCATTATCTGCTTTCTATTTCCTTCAATGAATTCTTCCTAGTCTTTACTTATGTCCTTTGGGTCTATATACTTTGTGGTGCTTCGAAAGACCAATAGAAAGTATAGTACAATCAACACTCAACCCATATTTGTTTATTATTAATTGCTCTCAAACATTATGCCAGATTTCCCCAAGTATGATAGCCCTAAATATAAGATAGTGTCAAAAATTCATGGGAATACTTTCATCCAGGTCAAAGAACACATTCTTGTTAAACTGAACACACGTTTTGAACAACAGTTCACTTCTACCTCAACAATTCACAAAGACACCAACTACTACCTCCTGATTCTATCAAGCTCCCTGGGTATAACTGTACCTAGAACTCTCTGCACGCTTGATGCCAAAGCTCATTTTCATTATGTGTATAAGGATTTCCTGATTTGCTCCTTATCTTTCCAACTCGATTAATTACTTTGCTTGATGCCATTTCCTTCCTTTTCTCCCACTAAGTTACAGTAGCCATTTTGTCAAATTATATAGAGGCTAAAATAAGCTGACCTCCTCCTTAAACCTGAAGTGTTAACTTCTCTAAAAGAAAAACTGAAAACAAACTTAGGATGAAAAAAGATGATGTGGCTACAAAATAACTTAAACCTAGCGAAAGCTTCTTCATAAATCCTGCAGAAGAAACTCTCCTTATTCCATCTTGTCCATCACTGGTTTCTAAGTGGGTCATGAAACTCAAGTGGAGTAGACCCTATGGCAGCAGTTGATTCTCATACTGGAAAGTTCAAAGGCCAGACCAGAGCTGCCTGAGGGCAGCAACTGGGTCCACATGGCAAACCACAGTATCCTTAGGGCCTGGCACAATAGCTGGCACAAAACATACTCCAATAACTACCTGCTGAATGAACAAATATTGAATGTAAATCAAGTCACCAAAAAAGCAAGGTCAGAGGTCTATCAACATGCATTATATCTGGGTGTAGGAAAGTTCAAAAATTCTTACAGGTTAGAAGACCAGGACTCAACAGTGACAAGGGGCTATAGCAGCTTCATGGTCAGATTCTGCCCATGCCTGAGATCTGGCCATCGGAATTTCCCAGAATTCCCTTCCTTAAAGATTCCAAGACCTTGGCTGCAAGGAAGCAGTCAACCCCAAGTGCAACTCATCATCCCAATAGATGAGAAGAGGGTGTATCCCACATTCTACCAACAAACCGAACAGAAGTGACAACAGAATAAAACTCCCCTATCTCAATGAGAAAGAGCTGGAAAACAAAGAGCAGGTAAGAGAAATGGAAGTCAAGTGAGAGAAACTAAAGTAATGAGAAAGTCAGAAGACATAAGAAGGGACCAGTGGAAAGAAAAAGAGAACTACACGGCTGAAGCAGGAAGATCACAAGTTCGAGGCCAGGCTCAGCAACAGAGCAAGGCCTGTCTCAGGGCGGGGACTAGGAGTGCTGCTCAGTAGTAGAGCGCTCCTGGGCTCAATCCCCAGTATCAAAAAGAGAGGGCAGCACCGATGGAGGGGATGACAGCAAGGCTATTTATTGAGATCCCTGCACCAAGCACTGCTTTACTGCAGGCACTGACCCACTTAATCCTCCCACCTCCCCCGACACAGACGCTGTTATCTCCACTTTACTGAAGATGAAACGGAAGCTTAGAGAGGTGGCTGCGCTTGCTCCATCCCACTGCTGGGAAGTGGCAGCGCTGTGACCCGACCCCGGTTTTGACTCCAGGGTACCCCACTCTGCCTTATAAACGGATTGAGAGGGGAGTCACTCAACACCTAGGAGTCAAAGCCTGCTGAGGCGGGGGCGGGCGGAGGCAGGGACCCGGGCTGGGCGGCCCGGGGGACGGATCACAACGTCAATCACGCGGCTGAGGCGCCTGGAGCCCCGAGGCGGGTGGGCACCTGGGCAGCGAGGGGGAAGAGCAGGGGCGCGCGGTGCGGGCCCGGGGCGGTGTCGAAGGACCGGGCTCCGCCGAGTCCCCTCTGCGGCCCGCGGGCCTCTGCCAGGCGCTCCGTGTGCTAGGGTGCTGGGTCCCCGCCGCTGCGCGCGGGCGGACGGTGGCTCAGGGCCGCCGGCGAGCAGGCGGTGGGGACCCCAGGGCTGAGGCGAGGGGACGTCGGCCGCCCGCGGCGTGGCCGGACTCACCTCCCGCGGCAGCCCCTCCGGACTCGTCGGCCCCGCGGGGCCCGAGGAGGCGGGGATGGACTCCGGGCCGCGGGGGCCGCCGGGAGCCCGTTCCCTGGGCAACCGGGCCGGCCTGGCGAGCAACCACCGACTCCGCCGGGGGCTAGAGCGGCCGAGCCACAAGTGGCGGTGGGCGGGGCGGAAGTGACGCTAGCGCTTCCTGTGAGTGGGCGGGGCTTGGGTCTCCTTCCCGGGATTTCTGCCGACCGCATGGAAGGTATGTGAGAGGGTTAGATTCCGGGTTGAGGAGGCTATGGGCGCCAGGCTTTTGGTCGCGGGCCGGGCCGCTTTGATTAAGTGCTGTGGTGCCTTGCCCAGCCCGGTGTGCCGGCCCCGCGCAGCCTCTGTGGTCGGCCTGGGGCCATCTTTGCTGCGCCTCCGTTTTTTCACGTGTGGAGTGACAGCTGAACGGATGATGTGTGCAAAGGAGTGTCAGCAACCTGACGCTCGAATGGTATCGTCATTATTTATTTATTTATTTGGCGTCACTGGGGATTGAGCCTATGGGCTCTCTGCCACTGAACTACATTTTCAGTCCTTTTTTATTTTCTGAGACAGTCCTCTAAGTTGCTGATGGCAGGTGTGCGTAGAAAGCCCCTGGTTTCAACCTCAGTACCACAGAAATAAATAATAAATAGCAGTAATGGAGCAAATTGGGCGCCAAGCCTTGCATGCCCATCACCTCCAGAAACTCTTACTTGAACTGTCAGTGAAGGTTGCCAGAACATTCTGCTTGTAGAGTGCTCACTGAGCACCAGTAATGTTTTAAGTCAGCTCCATTTTGCAGTGAGAAGCCCTGGCATGAAGGGGATAAGTAACTTAACCACTGGGTTATGCCTTATCATCTGCCCTGTTCTGTGGCTCTGATTACTGTTCTCTCCCTACTAGCCTGTGAGTTTCTTGAAGTTGAAGCTGTTTTTTGGTTCCTAAGTATGTACTAGTATAATGCCAGATTCGTCGTGGGACCCCAGTAGACCTCCAGGAGCCAATTCTGATGCAATCACACAAGAATCTTTATTGCAAGCTGGAGCCTGGACTCACAACCGTTTCTGACGCAGCTGTCCCAGGGAGTAAGCCCTGGTGCTTTGTCCAGTGAGATTTTATAGGTTTTTTGGGGGATACTCTATGCATCACAACATCACACAGCAAATCATTCCATACCGCAGGAAAATCAAACAACAACTCTTAACATTGATTAGCACATTCAATGGCAGGAACAAGTTGGGTAGGGATGTTTGGTTAGTACAAGAGGGGGATTCGTTTGAACTGATTGGTTTAAGCCACGAGGGAGTACGTGCTGAACTACATGGTTTCCCAACATGTTATACACCACCATAAACTACTGGGGGGGTCATCTGGCATCCCAGGTATTTTCCCTGTCTCATGCTGATTGGTGGTTGCTGGGGGGGTTGCTATGGATTCTCACCTAGGCTAACTGAGTCAGGGACACCTGGTGCAGCAGATCTCTCCTGTTATTTGCAGACAAACAACTCAGCAGTGTGGTTATGTGCCTAGGAGTGCTCTGTGGGTTTTTCCAAAGACCAGGGCCACGCCCCCTTCCTTGGACAGGCCTTGAGGTAGAAGCTTTTTTCAAAAAGGAGTCACATCAGTTTCTCACTAGGTGCCTGGCAAGCAGACAGTGAATCAGTTGGGATCCTCATCCTCAGGAACCCCTCCTGGGGAAGAGAAAACTTTAGACAATTTCACTACAGATGATGATAAGAGCACTTCCTCCACCTAACACATTTTATTCAGCACCTACTATGTGCAGAAGGTATGAAAGGGAACAAGATAAACAGAGCCTATTTTGGTTGGACTCAGTCCAACAGGGACTGAGGCACCTCGCTGCTGACTGTCAAGATACCTGAAGCATAGGATGTTCCAGTTACTAGTGCAGTGAGTCCTAACCCACCTTGGGGGATCCAGGAGACTTTATGGAAATGATTTTCTAAAAATCTAAGATCATGCCATTGCCCTCCTCCAAGCACACTGCTTGCTCTCCATTGTACATAGAACAAGCCCAAACTTCCTGTCTTGGCATGCAAGGTTCTAATTGTGAGGTCCCCTCTTAACACACTACCCGCTCCCCTCCATTTTATCCTAGCCATACTGAATCTGGACTGGTTCTTGGTCATTTATCATCTCTCGCCCCTTTGGAAAGTCATTTCCACAGCAATGGCTATCTTATTCAGGCACTTCATCCTTCATGCCTGGCATATTGTAGGCAGCCAGCAAACATTAGTTGTTTCAGAGTGAATGAAGAACCAATATACTTAAAAGAAGAACCCTCTAGAATGCCAGGTGATTGAAGACACACTAATAGCAGAAACATTCTAATTCATGTTGAAGCTTATACAGACCCAGCACTGAGGCACGGATTGCAAGTGGGAAAGGATCAAGCTGAAGAAGGGTGTGCAGACTTGGGTAACAGGGCCTTGGACATCAGATGATATACTGACCCTTGCCATGGGCCAGCCCCTCACAGCATTACATAGCATCTACTCTCAGCAACACTGTGAAGCAGATACTATTTTTATTAGTCTACCCTCCAAACCATACAACTTTTGTGTGTTCTGTATTCCTCCAGGGCCATGAAGTGTCTGTTGGGTTCTCAGTGGAGAAGGGAGTGCTGGGGTAAAACAAACTGCCCGGGAGGCTCTTGGTGGTCTGGGGACTGCTTCCTCCAGACAGTGGGATCTGGGTTTGGCTTGAGGGAGGCAGCACTAGCCTGAGAAGGAAGGAGCTTTTAGAAGAAAAACGCATGTGCAGAGGCCTTTTCAGGAGCTGCTAGAAGCTTGGCACAGTGGTGCACATTTGTAATCCCAGTGACTCAGGAGCTGAGGTAGGAGGTTTGCGAGTTCCAGACCATTCTTAGCCACTTAGCAATGCCCTAAGCAATGTGGCAGGACCCTGTCTCAAAACATAAACAGGGCTGGGGATGTGGCTCAAGTGGTAAAGCACCCCTCGGTTCAATCCCCAGTACCAGAACAAAAACTGCTAGGTTCACTTTAACTGGAGATCATGAAAACTGGTATTGCCAAGAGTGCCAGGGCCTGACGGAGCTGGAACTTCCTCCTGAGCCCCAGGAAAGGCAGAGGCGGTCTCGTCAGGATTCCCTTTGCATCTCTGGTGTCCTTCCTTCTCAGTATCTTAGAGGCTCCAGTGAGCCACACGTCTCTGAACAAAGTGCCTGAGACTGGAGAGTGGGAGTACTAAGGAGTCAAGCCAGATTATCCTTTAGGAAATGGAATGGGAGCCATCCAAGGGTTCTCGCAGAGAGTTACAACTTCACTTCCAGCCTTTGAAAGTAGTTAAAATGCCAAGGTCAAAACTTTGTGGAGGGCTGGGGATGTGGCTCAAGCGGTAGCGCGCTCGCCTGGCATGCGTGCGGCCCGGGTTCGATCCTCAGCACCACATACAAAGATGTTGTGTCTGCTGAAAAACTTTAAAAAAAAAAATAAAAATTCTCTCTCTCTTTAAAAAAAAAAAATATTTAAAAAAAAAAAAACTTTGTGGAGCCATTAAGCTAGGAAAGGATCAGCTATATCTGATGTGTCTTAAGTAATTTTTTAAAGTTTTGGCTTTCCTTGTTTTAGAAACTTTCATGTTTATCCAGACCTTAGCTTTTGTGACATTTATTTGTCTAGTTGACAAAGAATGTTAGTTTGGGGCTGGGGTTGTGGCTCAGTGGCAGAGCACTTGCCTTGCCCATGTGAGGCACTGGGTTCAATCCTTCTCACCACATAAAAATAAATAAACAAAGATATTGTGTCCATGTGTAAGTAAGAAAAATCTTTAAAAATAGAATGTCAGTTTGTTGACAGTTAATAAGACATGTGTCCTCCGACTATGATCATGTTTTCCATAATAATTGTGTTTTTCTTACTCCTACAGCAAAGACTCTTGGAGTTACAACACCCAGAAAGCCTGTCTTGTCAGTCAGTGCAAGAAAAATTAAGGACAGTGCAGCTGACTGGCACAATTTAATCCTGAAATGGGAAACCCTCAGTGATGCAGGTTTTACCACCGCAAATAACATTGCCAACTTGAAAATCAGTTTATTGTAAGTACATTTAGAGTTCCTCACACTCTGAACCTTCACCCTTAACCATTGGGCAGAAGAGTCATGGGAGTCTTTTAGGATAAATGAATTTAAAAATAAAATAGTAAGCAAGAAAAGCAGTAAATTATATATGCAAGTATGAAGTGTATATGAGCATTTTTTTAAGTACTTGAGCTTATGTTTATTTATTGTATATACACATTTTTTGGAGGGGTTCCCTTAATCATGGAGCTTCATCCCCAGCCCTTTTTATTTTTTATTTTGGGACAGGGTCTTGCTGAGTTGCTTAGAGCCTTGCTAAGTTAATGAGGCTGGCCTACAACTTACGATCCTCCTGCTTCAGCCTCCCGAGTCACTGGGATTACAGGTGTGTACTACCACACCCCACTACTTATTGTATATATCCATTTTAAATACAAAGTTATGCTATGTATTATTCATGGTTACATCTGTGTATAAACTTATAAAAACAGGTTAAAGGACCAGACATGGTAGTGTACTGCTGTTATCCCAGCCATTGAGGAGGCCAAGGCAATAAGATCACAAGTTCAAGGCCGGCCTGGGCAACTTAGCAAGACCCTGTCACAAAATAAAACATAAAAAGGGCTGGGGATGTGGCTCAGTGGTAGAGCATCCCTGGGTTCAATCTCCAGTATTGAAGGAAAAAAAAACATGATACAGGCTTAACTCACAGTACTGGCACCTTCTAGGACGAATGGTTGGGTGGTAAGTAATGAGACTTCATGTTCAGACTGTTACATTTTCCTTGTTTTTTAAAATTTTTCTTCCTGCTCTTGTTGTTGTTGTTGTTGTCATTGTTGAAACTAGGTATCACTCATTGCATTGCCCAGGCTGATCTCGAACTCTTGGGCTCAAGTGATCCTCCTGCCTGGTCTTCCCAAATAGCTGGGGCTACAGGTGTGCATCACCACACCCAATTTATTTTATTTCTTAAAAAAGACAA